TGAACGCAATTTTCGACTCGAGCGATTAAAGTTTCGAAGTTGTCGTCGTAGGACACGGATTTGAAAGGTTGGCTAACTTTGTCCGGGAGAAAGAGGGAGCGCGACGAAAACAATTTACGTTTTCGAGGTGTAATTATCGGCACAATAATAACAATTTCATACAATAATCGTCGTTCGAAATGAAATTTCGTTAACCGCGTTACCATCTTCCCGTACATTTAACGGGTTTATATTTTTCATCGTTTAACGCCCGGTAATATTTTCCCGTTCGTATATAACGTGCACAGTTTCGGCGGCGATAACGCATGAAACGGTTTAAACTGCGCGCACATACGAATGTTTACCCTCGGTCGCGGAGAGTCGCGGCCCGTCGGGGCTTTCTGCCCATTCATCGAGCGTTACAAATATGTTAGTCGTGTTTAATTGCCTTCGAAGCTCGTTTAATGAGACACACAGCCGAATATCGGGATTCAATTCGTTCTCTCCTCTAAATATTAACGGGCGCACAGCTGTAATCTGTGAATCGTACCCGTATTAATTATTCCCCGCCTTGATGCCGCGATAATGCATCGTACGAACGCTAAATATATATATATATATATATATATATATGTATACGAAACACGAAATATCTCTCGTTCGCCTGGTGAATCCGTCCAGCGATCGATGGATCATTCTCCGTCGCCAAGTCTGGTAGTAGTCCTGCTGCCACCAGACTTTCTTCTGGATAAACGCGTACCTCGAGTTGTTTTAAGAAGTAAGAGAGGTAATTTTGAGAGGCAATGTTCGTTTTTTTTTTTTTGAAATGTAAAAAAATTACACGTTGAAAACTGGTAAATAGATCGAAGGATATTTTTAGGACAGTGTAATGTAATTTTTTTTTATTTAAATCGACAATTTTAATTACAAAAATTATATCGTTCTTTTTTGAAAGTGCAACTTTTTGATAAAAATGATATTGATAAATGATATATATTTTTAAAAAAATCATATGTTGAAAGTTAGTAAAATTGATTGCGATTTCAACAAAAAATTATACCGCTCTTTTTAAATCGTTGTAAACAAGGATTCAAATCGAATCCATTCGTTGTTAAATAATTTGATCACGATATATTTTACACGTCAATTTCTGACCTTATCTATGTTTATCGTTATAAAAAAAGTCATACGTTGAAAGGTACTGAATAAGGATATTTTTGGAACAGCGTAATGTAATTTCATAATAAAAATTATCTTTTTAAAATAATAACGATTCGATTAATCCATAATTTTTAAATAATAAAACTACATACGCCAATTTCTGACCTTACCTGTATTTATCGTTCAAAAGAAATCATACGTTAAAAGCTACTATTAAAAGTACTATTAATACAGAAATTACACCTCTCTTTTTGTAACGACGATTCGATTAACCCATTCATTTTTAAATAATTGGATCATGCTATATATATATACGTTACACAAAATTATACCTCAAATACCTTCTCACCTTGCCTATATATTTATCGGTTTAAAAAAATCATACGTTGAAAGCTGCTAAATATGAAACACCGTGCAGATATCTCCAGGATACTGCGTAATGCAAAATTATAGATAAATTAAATAAACTTTTACTTGCCAGTGCAACTACTACTACAGCGCAAAACATCAAACGGATGTTTGAAAAATAAATGATTCTTCCGGATTGATCGTATCGGATAATATACGAAATCGACCTTGCAAGCGTCCTCTCTCTTATCCGTCTCAGACGTACGCGAAACGCAAGATGCTCGAAGAATCGCTTCTTTCTTGTTGCCGCCCGACACTGCCAACAGGTGTGCGAATTTCTCGGAACGCACTTTTCTATATTTCCCTTCGCAATCCTAGCTACACGTGTACACCGTTGAGTAAACGTTAAGGTTAAATAGGCTGCGCATTGTCGAGAGGAGAGGCTAATACCTGGCACAATGGGCCAGCGTCAAAACTTTTTCACGAAAGCGGGGAAAATCTTTCCGCCTCCGTTACTCTTTTATGCGAAACGAGACGCTTCCCTCGTGGGGAAACACGCGTGTCGTTTTTCGTTGCCCCCCTCTCCAACAACGACACGATTCCAAACTTTCCCACCTTTTCTTAGTTATCAACCGTTAAAGATCGATTTTCGATCGTTGTAAGATATTGGAAAGTTCGAGAATCGTTTAAACGATCGTTTAATTAAATTAGATAGGATCGAGAGTTTAACAATCGTTTTTAATTTCGTCGCGATCTCTAAAAAATATGATTTCGCGAAACGTCACTGTTGGATAATTGCGTTGATCCGCGTGATTATTATTCGTCAATCATTATTAAGAGGAAAAAAGAAAGAAAGAAAGAAAGAAAGGAAAGCGAGAAAAGAATAAATTGGCAAATTTAAATCTCGCGACAATAAACAGTCTCGGTCGTCGAGCCGACCTTGATTCCGGATAATCTACTTGTCGGGCCGAAGTCCGACATTCCGAGCCCCGGACACGTGTTCCTTAATACGAGAGATAATAATGGTCGAGCATAATAATAAGCGATCGATGCTCGTGTCTCTCCGTTGTCGAGATCACCATCTATCGGGAAAAAAGAAAAAGGAAAAAAAAAAAGAAAAATTCGACCTAACTCAATTTGAATAAATTTCTCGGCCGCCCCGACCGCGATAAAAACTTCATCTCGCGAGCATAAAGTTAACAGGCGCTTTCGCGGCTTCTTACCTCGTCTGATCGTCCGCACCATCAATTTCCTCGATGCGATCACCTTAACGAGATCACCTCGTCGATTGTCCGTCGCGCTTCGATGTGGAAACAGCGATGATTTGCATTAAACACCGGCCTGTCGCATCGATTCCATCGCGAAACCAGATCCAATTATAACGGATGTAAATCTTCTACTCTCTCTCTCTCACTCTCTCTCTTATCGATACGTCCTCTTGCTTTTTACACCGGTATATTACAGCGTCCAAACTTTCCTCCTTTCGTTCGTTCGAGTAGCGTCGCGTCTCAGTCCACAGCGTGGTATTTTTCTTCCACCGTTCTTTCGTTTCGAACGAGGGCAAAAAAGATTAGTTTGGAGAGAGAGAAAGAAAGGAAGGAAGGAAAAACAGTCGAGCAAGCAAACGGGCACACGTACACACACTGTTCTCCACTGTCCGCCACTCGAAACGAAATTGTGCGGAGCGGTTCTCTCTCTCCGAGGGAAAAAAGTTTTTCCGTGAAGTTTCGGCGGGGCACGGAGGGGTACGGTGGGCGAGCTTGGCGGTGGGAGGGGCTTGGCCGAGGCAGCACGTGACACTTTTTATCGGCGGGGGGAGGGATGGAATCACACGTGTCACGGGAGATTATTGGCCTTTGTGAGCGGGTTGACAAATGATCCACCGCATATGGCGCGTCGCGCACGACTGAGGCCAGATTTCGCTTCCACCATCCTCTCCCCGTGATCTACCCCCACCATAGGGGCTCTATCCTCTTCCACTCGGCCCTTGCCACTCGGTCGGTTTTCCCTGACCGAGCGTGTCGTCGTCGTCGTCGTAGTCGTCGTAGTCGTCGTTCCAGCACGCAGACTCCTCGGCCGGCCACCACGAGAAACCGCTTTTCTCCCCCGCGAGACACAACGGCCTCTTCGGTCAGGTGGTGCGGTGTTCCTCTTTTTCTTTTCCTTCTTTTTTTTCTCTTTCTTTCTTTCTCCTCCCTTCCCGATCAAAGCAAAGGCGGAAAAACCGTCTACCAGCCGGCTTTCTTATTGTGCGACGCCTGCAAGCGTATTCTCGAATCATGGAGCATGGACCGAGATGCTCTTTGGTCGGGTCCTGAATCGGATAACTTGGTGAATCGGGTTCCTGCGCTTTCCCGCCAGAGAAGAAGGAAAGAGAGAGAGAAAAATGTCGTTCGTTTGTACTTTTTTCTCGCGCTACTCGATGCTTATTGACGGTAGAGTTGAAAAAAGTTAACTAATTAAAAATTCCGAATAAAGTTTCAAGTAATTAGTTATTAAAGTGCTCGAATAATATTTGTTCGTTATAATCGATTCGCGATTATTGTAATTAAATTTTGACGGTAATATTGAAGGTAAAGGTTACTTTTTCTTTTGTTAATATTCAATATTATAAATTTTTGCGTATGTATTTTACGTTCGTGAATCGAACCGTTATAAATATAAATGCAACGCGTTCATTCATTTATTTAGATCACGCCAATCACGAAAATGCGAACCATTTCTGAAACTTATTTTCCCGCCAGAGAGAAAGAGAGATTTCCTCGTTGGTTTCCTTGTTTGGTTAGATTTTCTTCTCTTTCACGTTAATCGATGAATACTATAATATTGAAGATAAACAAAGATTTTCTCTTTTAACTCGAACAGTTATAAAATAAATGCGTTATTTAGATCATCATACAAAAATGTGAGGTTATACACTCCTTATATACTTCTATCTTCATCGAGTAACTCGAAAAAGGAGTTTAAGAAAAAAAAAAAAACGAAGAAAAAAGAAATTAAATTCCCTCTTTCCCTCCCGTATCCCTTACGGTTTCGCGAACAATCACGTAATAGATACTTTCTCGACGGACGCATCGGCACATAGCCACATCCAAGAACCGACCGCCATTACGCCACATCAAATTTACTCTCCTCCGACATCCAGGCATCCAGCCTTGTATCATTTTCTCGAGTGTCCGCTTCCCTTTTCAGAGAGAGAGAGAGAAAGAGAGAACGCGTATCGTTCCCTATTGGAAAGGGAGGGAAACATCTTTGGGACGATCGTGGTTGAATCGTGGACACGGACTTTGGGGACCGCTTCTCGCGTTACTTTCGGGAAACAAGTAACGGGCCGAGGATGTCGAATCGTAGCGGCGACGAATATTCGAAGGGAATTTTTCAAAAACCAGCGTTTCAAATTACCTGTTTCGTTACCGAGTTTTTCACCACTTTGAATGTACGCGTGCATTCGGGACGCGTGATAAATACCCGGCCTCGTGGGTATTATAAATCAGATAGTATTCTACGTTTTCTTTCTTTGTTTTGTTTTCCTCTCTCTCTCTCTCTGCGTTCCCTTCATTTCGACACAATACATCGGTGAATCATCTAAGATTTGAGAATGGAAACTGTTTTGAAGTGGAAAATATGGTATATTTAATATTTTTATACCAATCCTATAAAAGAAATCTGTCAAATTTTCGCATTAACGATCTTCGTTAGATCATCCGTCGGATCTGTTTCTCGCTCTTCGTCAATAAATATTTGTCCGCTCTTAACGAAGGCTTATACCATTGTCTCGTATTGTTATTATCGCTAATTATACGGGGCGTAAACTGTCTGCGATTTTCAGCAGCTAAAAAACAAGTAACTGCACGATTATAACTCATCGTAACTTATCGACTTATCCAGTCATACAATGAATACAAATTTAACAAAAATGAAAAAAAAAACCTTTTTATTTTAATTTTGGATCTTATTCGAAGAATATTCTTTCAATCTCAGGATAATTCATCCTCCGTCATACCGTATCGTACAGTTACGAGATCGAAGCGACGTCGAAACGCGTAGAGCACGTCAAAAGAATCGAATTAATTCCTGATGGAACTCGCTCCTTTTGATCAGGTGTATCTCTTTATGAGCGGTCAAAGGCGAAGGAATCCGTCTAAGCCGGGTCTCGCATTGTAACAGAGACGAGCGGGCGAGCGAGCCAACGTCCAGAAAACCTTTCTCGAGCCTGTTATAAATTAGTCGAGTTTTATTGCGCCTTATGTTCCCTGTCACGCCTTATACAGGGAACTTCATTTCTCTTCCCCCTCCCTTCGAATGTTTAATAGATAAGCAACCGGTAAAAACATTCTCGCGTGTCTCGCTATTCACCGCAACTTCGTTTATTGATTCCTCTTCGTAAAGAATATAACGAACAGCGCGGCGATCTGTGTGAATACGAGTTCTTTTCGACACGACGGCACACGAATAATTTTCGTCGTTCTATATATTCATAATAACATACCTTGCATCGTTGAATTTGCTTTTCTTTTCCAGTTTATCGAGGTGTTTTCGCGAAGAGGATCTGTTTTTGCGTAGAAACTTCGAGGTTAGGTTATGACGAATGGAAGAGTAGAATAGGTTTCCTTGGTGATCGAAAAAGTACCGTTCATTGGTGGAAAGAAGCCTCGCGAAAGGAACGCGAGTCTGATTGGTTAATTTGGAAGGAAACATCTATTTTCACACACATTTTTCTTTCTATCGTGGTATTCACGTATACCAATCCGAAACGACGATCTGTATCTTAACCTCAACGCATTAGCGTAGGTATAGAATTCAGAGCGTTCTAAAAATTTTGTTATTCCTCGTAATACGTGTAATTTATAAATGTAATTTTATATTTAAAATAAATATTTTAAATATATCATATTAATAATTTCGAAAATATTTCAGCTTCCAGTCTTAGATGATTATCTTAGATGAATATTAAAATTATTCCTCTTTTATTATTGTGTTAGGATTGTCAACAAAGCGTTTGAAGCAGAGATAGGTGATTTTAGCGAAGAACTCTTCTTTATTCGCCAGTGAACAGTGAACAAACGTGACGCGATTGCATCGATGAAACAGATCCATCAAACGATTATTTATAAATCATCGAGGAAAGAAAATGTCCCAAATTTTGAATTTTTCTTATGCAAAACCATTCTAACATATTTACTCTCTATTCCATAGAACGAAGATTCTAACTTTCAAATTAGAAATTGAAAATTTCACGTATATTCTCCACATCACAATTTTTAATCATCCGGATTCATCGAATTTTCATCGTGAAAAAAAAGATTTTTCACCGATTCCATTTCGGGAATGAGAGTGTCGAAAAAAGAGGAAAAAAGAGGATATAAGGTACGTTGGCTCGGATGAAACTAAAAAATCACGGACGCTTTCGACCGAGCGTCGCGCCATCAGCCGAAATGAATTCCCGGACGAGGCGGAGGGGCCCCTTGATAAGATCTCGAAATTTCGCGCGACACAACCACTCCGTCGTCTCGCGTAGAAGAGGATATCCTTTCGCGAAAATTTACCACGCTTGTTTATACCTCCCGAATTAACAAGTACAATGGCGCGTTTCGAGATTTCCTCCTTGTCACGAGCCCCGCTTGTGACACGTTCCCTCCACTGTATTAGCCCGACTCACGCGTCCCCCAGGAACAGTTTTCCTCCAAGTTTCCACCCAAGTTTCGAAATCCAGCTCTATCCCCTCCGCCCCCCTCCTCTCTCTCTCTCTCTCGTCCGTCCGATACGAGTCACGGGACGAGGTGGCTCAACGAGCAGACCGAATCGCCTCGCGATATCGCCTCCCCTTGCGATTATAATCCTTGTGCACGGAAAGTTATCGCGTTGTGCACCTTTGTTTAGACGACTCGGCCACTTTAGGGAATCAAACGAAAATGCCTGTATACGAGAGAGAAAGAAAATCGTTTCGAATAAATTAATTATTTTTGTACGAATGCCAAAAGATTCGGCTCTCTGGAACGAAGAAAGCGTTGCTCATAATATAATAAAATTCTCATACTCGACTTCGAAAATACCCTCAAACGATGGCGAGATAAATATTTTTAAACGAAATCGTATAAAAGAAATTTCATCATCCGCGAAAGTGTACACGTCTCGAAACAATTGAAGTAGAAAATGCGGCTCTCTGCTTCTCTGATGGAAGGGGACGTCCACTCCCACTCCCAGAACACGTCTATAACTCTAGAAGCCGGGCTAAATGTAGTACGATTATCTTCGGCCTCGGTTTCGACCAGTGTTTGTAAACGCGGTTGCTACTAAACGTTCCCGCGATATATCAACCGGCTCTATATATATAAAGCTTTTAAGCCCGGATTCTGCGCGCCACCTCCAGTATAATTAGGGATGTAAGTGTTCATTCGTAGGTGGCGGCACACGTGCACACCGGCCAAGATACGATCTATAGGCTGTCACGAAGATCGTTTCCACAGATTATTCGGATTCGGACGGTCGGAGTCCGCGCCGTTAATAAAGGAGAGAGAAAGTGGCGCTGTGTCTCGCTCGCACGAGTCGTCCTTCCAACAAATGTTCGTATTATCGCGAATCCTTAACTTTAAGCGTTGTTTCTTTAAATAACAAATGTACGAAAGATATTCGAAAAATGGTTGAAACGGTTAATTGAAGTTTTAAAAAGGAGGCAATTGTTGATTCGTTCTCATCCTCGAAACAGGGCGATTTTCGTTTCGTCCATTAGAGCAAGCAAGCCGTTTTAGATGGTTATGCGTGCTATCCTACGTAAGCACGCCTTTGGAATCCTCGATTTCTCCCTTGAACCGCGTTACGTCGACTCGTTAAGGCTTTCATCCTCGAAGATACGAACGAGAGCCGAACAAACAACTGATTGTTCGCGCGAGAATTTTCTTCTTTTCCATTCGATTTCGAATTGCCGCGAATTTGATACCGAGACGTTGTCGGAATCCGTCGCCAAAGTTTGGCCAGAAGGAGGGGGGAGGGGGAGGAAGTTTATTTGCGCGTCATACGCGTTTATTTCGTCCCTGGTTGGTCGGAGGAAAAGTTTCGAGCACGGCCATATGATAAGAGTTTGGATTGTTCCAAGACGATTTTAGGGGGGCGAAGTTCGCTCGGCTGAGTGAACCCCCGGCAAAGTGTATCAACGAGTCTCGCTTCATACATCCTCTCGGTGATTTGCGCGACGTTTTTGAAAATAAGATTTCCGTTCTCCTGGCTAGAATCTTTTACGGAAGAAAACTTTTCTCGAACTGTGGAAAGAGAGTAAAAGTAATATTCCTTTTTTTTTTTTTTTTTTTATAACAAAAGTAATAAAATGTACAGCGATCATCGATATTCGAATAATTGGTAACAATAGAATGAGACCGGAATGCGAAATATCGTGTAATATATTGTCGATAACTTGAAATAGTTGAAAATACCGCGTAACACGTCATTTAACAAAATATATCGAAATATAATATAATATATCTATCGATAATTGTCGCTATAAAGAAAACTATTAGTTGAGATAGAAATACGGAAAAGAGCGTGAAATATGTACAATCGTATATCATACGACATAACTTGTCGATAAATGATCGAAAATATATTTTTCATCATCTTTCGAATTTAGAGATCGATTTTACAATGTTATTCCTAATCGTCGATAGCTATCGATCAATAACGCAGCGAGTGAAATATCCTTTTTGGAACACGCGACCGCGTTATATATCCTTGTATCGATGCGTAACGAGGCGTGATCTGTATCGATTGGCCAGGAATCTATTTTTAGGAAAAAGAGAGGACTAGCGCGGGCTAATCTTAATCGCGAAAGTACGCATCTGGTCGACACTTTATGCGTTCGTTAGCTTACACGTTGCTATATATCGCGATGGTGCAATTCTATTGGGGATTTTCTTTCGCTGACGTCACAAAGGCTGGATGAAAATGTAACGAATACACATATCTATGGGCGACCGACGTGTACTTTTTTGAGGGGGGAGGGGGACAAATTCGTTGAGCGCCCGGTTGAAACGCTGCCAGTGTGTTTTTCAATCTATTAATAGTCGGTTGGCAGTTTTGCTCAAAACATTTTTCTTGTAACAAACGATAACTTGGATTTTATTTTTACAGCTGAAAAACTCTTCTCTCTCTCTCTCTCTCTCTTTGCACTGTACATTATTAAGAGGGAGATCGAGATACTTTATTGAAGATAAACACTCGGAGATTAATTATTGAAATGGAAAATTGGAGGCGAAGGAAAAATTTAAATTCGTCCGAATTATTTAAATAAATTTGTCCGAATAAATTTCCAAGTTTTACAAGGACAGAGCGTATCGTCGATCGAAGCGACCGTTTGTTTATATTTTTTAAAATTACGTATTTTACGTAAATATTAAATCAAAAAAAAAAAATAAAAATAAAAATAAAAAAGCTCTTTTAAATTTTTGAACGCTGCGTTTCTCGAGTACTCTGTGTATTTCCAAAACTCTTTGAAATGAACTGTTTCGAAAAAAAAAAATATATATATAGTGTGTACTAATGAAAATATACCCGAACAAATATACGCTCGCATACGTTTACACAAGAAATTGTGCATCGAAAGGAAGATATTAAACGTTAAATTAAAATGCCACGGGGGAGGGGGCGGGTATTGAATTACAAGAATAACAGTATTAATTTCCATGCCAATTTGTAACGCGGCAACGAGATGGCGATTGTAGCCAACCGAATTTCATCGAGAGAATATCTCGAATCGCTTACTCGGGGGCTCGACGAGATTTCGTTGTCCGAGTTTCTAGAAATTTTCGAATTTCTCTCGATCCCCAAATTTTCCATCTGTATATGTATATATCTCTTGTTAATTAGAAAAAAAAAAACAATTTCTCCATCCTCCATCCATTAATACCATAATCGACCTCAAAAATGAAACAACAACGTGTTTCAAAGAGGCGTGCGATGAAAGGAAATTCTTGAAATCCGATCGAGCGATTAAAATGATAAACAATTCAAATTTCAGGTAGTCGAGTCGCGCCACCTCGTGTTCTTTCCTCCTCCTCCTCCTCGTATCGAAAACGCGTATCGTATTGCGGTTTAAAACAAGATAAGTGCTTGGCCGCAACCGAATTTACCAGTGAGACAGATAGAGAGATGGAGAGAGAGAGATGGCGGCACGGTCGTAGAGGCGGGTTTATACCGCGATATTCAACGACATAAAATTGAGGTACGCGGTTCCCAATAAATAGCGAGCGGGAGCCAACGTCGGGCAGACGTCGATTTACAGCGCGCGGTGGTACAGTTTGCGTGTCGAATGAAATAAAGGATCTGCAACAACCTATCGATGGAAGGGGATCCGAAACAGTTTCAGTTTTCCATCGTTGTTGTTGCTGGA